GTCAAACACCACTTCCAACCCTACTGCACGCACTTGTTTCAACGTCTCAAAGCGTCACAGCCGGGAAGTTGTACGAGCCACTTTGGCAGGTATGGCGGCATTGTTGGTCAAAGTGATATGATATCGGTGAGACAACAACGTGGCACGGCACCAAGCGCAATTACCCCCCCCCCGGGCCCCCCCCCCACCCACCCCGAAACCCGTCCACAGCCGCCAAAGACGTGCTTGTTGCAGCCCCAAGCAGCTCTTAAAGACCACATACACACATCACGTATATTCTGTACATTACATGATATTTCGTTACAATACGTTACATCAAACTACAGACATGCATACAAGCATACTTCCATACAGTACATGCATTACATTACATTACATTACATTACATTACATTACATTACATTACATTACATTACATTACATTACATTACATTACATTACATTACATTACATTACATTACATTACATTACATTACATTACATTACATTACATTACATTACATTACATTACATTACATTACATTACATACATTACATACATACATACATTACAATTACATACATGCATGCATACATTACATTGCACTACATTGCATCACGTTACATTGCATTACGATTTACATTTGTAGCGGGCGTTTGTCTCGAGCTCATGTCGTAAACTCCAGGTCTCGATCGCTCGGTCTGGATGCCGCTCTGAAGCTCGCCGTTTCTTCAGGGATTTTGGAGCAAGGAGTGCTTTGCTGCGAGCTCCAGCGAACCCCCAGACCCAACAAGAAAATACCCACAGTTTGTCAGCCAACAAAGTTCGTCGCAGTCGACAGAACTCATCATCATCATCATCATCATCATCATCATCATCATCATCATCATCATCATCATCATCATCATCATCATCATCATCTTCCTCATCTTCCTCATCTTCCCCTTCTTCCTCTTCTTCCTCTTGTTCTTGCTCCTCTTTTTCTTCCTCTTCTTGATCTTCACGCCCTTCTAGAAACCCGCTGGGGCCCTCCGACCCGAGGGACACCGCCTCCACCTGCTGCTTGGCCTGCCGCATGGGTTGCCCAAAACAAGGGCCACCGAGCGGGGCGGGTAGCCCCAAAATGGGTGCGGTCTGGTACACGGAAACGCCATGCACCAGAGAACCCAGAGAATCCATTTGCGCAAATGGGTTGCCCTGTGCTCAAAAGTCGTTAACCCAAAACGGGTTGGTCTGATGGAAAAGCCACCTGCGGTCTGCTGGTTTTTGATTTTGCAGACCCATAGAGGAAACTCCATTTGGGGAAGGGGACGCCCCTTTTCTTGCGATCGGTGCGAGAGGTCGGGCATGACGAGTCTGGGGCTGGGAATGAACCGGGAGGTGATTCCCTCAAAGGAAAGCACCGTGAGTGGTTTATGGGTGTTTTTCCCTTATTCCATGCTGAGCACCACAAGTTCTGGATGTGCATGTTAATCTGGAGTAGCCATCCCTTTTGGCGTCCTTGGATGAAAAAATCTGAGGGGAAGCTTCCTTACTTGCGACGCCAAATAGAAAGTGTGAAACATCTCTGGGAGTTTCTCAAATGGGGGACCGTCTTTAAGAGCCAACCGTTTTAGGGCATGGACCACGATCTTTTGACAAACACCCACCTTAGGAACCCCCCCGCAAAAAAAAAAAAACTAAAAACGGAAATCCATTTTCAGAGATCGGAGAACACCCCCCAAAATAGGCGAAAGGCTCGATCCCTTGAGGCGGTTCCTCGACTCACTCTTGTGTTTCAGGGTTGTTTTGCCCAGACCTCTCGTGGTTTTCCATGGGGAAACAAGGCGCTATGGGCGTCTTTTTGCGGGGGCGCCCAAAGTGGCGACCACAAAAAGGGGGGTACCAACTCATCCATGTCTCCACAAGCCGGGCCTTTGGTGGCATGGTGGGTTTCCTCTCCGCAGCACAAGGTGGCGCTCTTGAGCCCTAAAGACGCGCCCCAGCCCAGAGAGAGACCAACACCTACGCAAAGCAGAAAATTCACGAGGCAATGCTAACGAACAACCATGCTCCATGTGCCTTTCCGTTGCTGGGAAATTGTTGGCACGGAATTGACAATTCCCCAAGGCATCACAGCCGTGGTTTAAAAAGCCTTGTTGCCTCAGTCCGCTGGTTTTGTGGGGAACGCTACTGCTCGTCCCCCATGTGCCCAAATGGACCATAGACTACTGGCAGTTCTGACCAAACCTCACACGGTTGCCGAGTGCACAAACTATCAGGCTGGAACTTAAGAGCAACCAAGATTCAGCAGCTCGATCTCTTGAACTGACTCCTAAGGCGGCACCGATGGGACCAATGGCCCAACAAATCCCACAGTTTCGTGGAAATAAACAGACGAGCGCCTTCGAAGACCGAGGCTCGGTCGCCTGGCTCTTTTTTGAGGGTATCCGCTTTTGAGTTGGCCACAAAGGAAACCAAAAGAAAGACCAAACCCGATCTTAAACGGAAGCCAAAACGAAAAACCACAAATTGTCCGAGAACAACAAGATCCCAAATTTCTGGGTGCCCCATCGGTCGCCAAACCCTCTCGAGGCTGCAACTCCTTTCTCCGCAGACACTCTGAAGTTCGCTGGTTGATTCGCTCGCTCAAAGACGGCGGCCGCGACGGCCGCACTTGCGCCGCGTGCAGTCAGTGGGAATGGGAGTCACGTCCTGCAAAGCAAACCGCAGGAGTCAAAAGCCTAAGCCACTCCATCCAACCAATAAAAAGTCCCACATCCCGGAAAACGGAAGGAAACCCTCCGTTCTTGCGGGTGCCCCATTTTGGGTCACCCCACAATATCGTGACGCCACATATCCGCCGCGAAGCCAAGGACTCCTCGATGCGGCCGATCTTCATGCCGCTGCGCGCCAAAGCGCGGAGGGCGCTCTGCGCGCCGGGGCCTCGCGCCAAAAAGGCGGTGGACACGTGTCCAAATCTGAAACGGCGGTGGTCAAAATCCAAATCGGTTAGCCCCCAGTGAACATCCCATTCAATCCCCAGTTTCTAAAATGGGTGGAGAAAAAGGAAAACTACCGACCAAAATGGGATCCCAAGACGGCTTTCACCCACCAAGCAAGCCCAAACGACCCTCGAATCTCTGGCTGAACTCCCGGCTGGGCATCGTTTTCTTACGTGGGGAAGTGATGTCCACCAACCACGTTGGGCGTTCCAACCATGGGAAATTCAGAGGCGCCTGGCTGGGGAAAAAAAAAGCAGGATGAAAGAGTGGGGCTGGTTTGGGGCTGGGCTGCTTAAAGCAACGGCAAGACTCGGTCATCCTTCCCCCAACGGTCCCATGATAAAGATTGCGAGACACGTAATGATTTTAAATCGGCCGGGCTTCCAATGCTCAGCTCCTTACAAGGCTCCTTAACAAAATGTAAAAAAGCTCCTTCTAAAGCTCCTTATAAAGCTCCTTATAAAGCTCCTTAGCAAATTGTAGAAAAAGTAAAACCCTCCAAGCCAAGGGTTGCAGGGTTTTACTTTCGAGGGCTGTGTTGTAAGGGTCGGCAGAGAATTTGTTGCTTCAGAGTTGGTTTCGTATCGGCTAAATTCAGTTCATTTTATTGGGAGACTGGGTGTCCAGAAACACGACATTCATGGGGCTTGCTTTGACGATAGGCAAGTGATACATCGGCAACCTTCATTTGTCTCCCCGGCCCCCAAACAAAAAAGAAGACAAAAAAAGAAGAAGAAGAAGAAGAAGAAGAAGAAGAAGAAAACAACACACTGAACACCTCAATACTCCAAAACAAAAAACAGACGCATAGGGAAGTGATCCGGTTGTGCGATTCAAAAAAGTCCGCTCCGCGTGGCGCCCGAGCCTGGGGTCCGGGTCTTGGTGCCGCCGGTGGCCCTCAGCTTGATGTGCAGCGCCCCGATGCCCAGCTCCTGGGCGTCGCTCTCGGCATCTCACGGGCCCACCGCTTCGGCGTCTAAAAAAAAAAAGAGACGGCGGTGGAGTGCCTGGGATGGAAAGACGTCATACCCCAAACCCACACCTTTGGAAAAGACGTCTGGATTGACATGCACCTGGCACTTCCTTCGATCATTTTGCGCTCAGTAAGCCACTGAGGCCGCGCCACCTCCCCGTCTGCTCCTTGCAGCGGGCGGCCACATCCTGGGCTGCCAGCATCGCCGCGTAGGGCGATGACCTCAGCACTTGCCACGTGGCAGCTCACCCTCCAAACGTGGATCCGGCCAAAGACATGGATAGCTTCCTACCTTCTCTCCTTTCCATTCCTACCAGCCTGTATCTGAGAAATATGGTAAAGAAAAGGCTGGTGAAGGAATGGCCTATCGCTCCCTTATCTGTCTATTGACTCATAGTTAGACCAAGTTGCAAGATATGCCCGAGACCACCATCGTTTCGGACATATGTCGCATGTTCGTAAGCGTGATGTATTTCTCCCTGTGGCGGCAAATGTCTCACCCTCGCGAAAAGGCGAATGGCGTGCCCCTGGGCACCCAGCTCATCACGGTCCGCCTTCACCTGATTGCATTTCTCCCGAAACAAGAAATGGGTATGGGTCAAAACGAAACCACCAAAAAAACCGCGGAGTTTACTTCAGATCTCCATTTACCAGGGCAACCCATTTTGGGAATGGATGCGGCAAAAAAGCTCACAGACAGAGGTCCCCGTCTTTGTCTGAAGGCTGCCAGACCACCCCCCCAAGCCACTTCCCGCTGGCCTTCATGCCCCCTGTGACGCGCATGATGGTCTCCCTGCCGGAGAGGTCTGTGACCTGACACTCTCCGCCGTCTGTTTTCCAAGTCTCCCCGAGTCCCCGAGTCCCGCCAGGGCGAAAATGACGAGCAACAATTCGGAGCTCGAATCTCGGGAGAAAAAAGAAGAAGTGCTTCTTTCTCAACTTACCATCGTCTTCCAAAACGAGCAACAAGCAACAAACAGGAATCAAAGCTCCAAAATGGAGGGGCAAGGCTCCCTTGGTGGCCGACGGTTGTTTGACATCAGCTCGCGTGCCATTTGTTGGTCATCAGAAAGATGGGCAGACCCGCTCCAACTCTTTTGTCTTTAAGGAGTGAGTTCCCAGCAGTCTTGAGGTGTGGCGTCTCGACGTGAAAAAAAAGCTTGATTGCCTGGAGCACCCTACGCATTGCCAAGACTGATGTGTAGAATGCGAATGGCACGCTCCACCTCTAGCAGGCACCAAAGAGTGGCCTGCCCAAGTCCTTCACATGAGACATGCTGTTAGGCCACGTCAGCTTGAGAGTCCGTCAACCTTTCAGTGTGTTCAATGCCTCCCCAAACTCAAGCGGAATGAGCCATGCGATTAGCCCCAGTCAGGTCAGATATCAAGTTCCATGATTCTTAGGTGGGATTAGCTGAACTCCCCGCTGGGGAAAAAAAAAAAACCTTGTCTTGCTTGGTCGCCGCTTTGTTTCTGGACGCCACGACGTTTCGGAAAGCCAAGGACGTCACATGCACGAAAGTGTCGTTGAAGGAGGCGTAGATGTGCGCCACACCTCGGACAGAGCTTGGCTTCTACGTGGGCCAACATGTGCAAAAAATCAGCTGCGATGTTTTTCTCCTCCAGGCTCGGTGGAAATGGAGGGCCAACCGTCCAACCGTCTAGTTGCATCATTCCAAGTTTGCCAGAATTTGGGTGCCAAACTCATGTCCCAACTGCAAAAAGTCCAGCCGCCAAACTTTTGGCATGGGCAAACGCCCCAAATCTGGGGCCGTCTGGCCGAAGACGACCTCACCCTCACGGACTTGCGGCCTCACTCCGAATGGCCGAGCCCGTCACGCCCAAGTCCGAGCTTCAAAGACAAGACTGGGGTGCTGCAAGCCCACCCGAAAGAACAAAGGGTCTGCCCTTTGTAGCAAGACATGGACAGCTCATTTGTTTCCAAAAGGACCAATCAAGCAAAAGATCATCCCTTTCTAGGAAAGAATGGACAACTCATTGTCCAAAAGGTCTGTGCAGCGATCCCGGGAACACCAAAGACCAAGCAACTCACTGCCCCAAACTCCCCGGACGCACAACTCCAGGCTGACCTCGCCAAGTCCCCGGGATAAAGCCGGCCTCTGCATCGCGAGGCAACCTCCCTAACCGAACAATAACCAGGCCCACTGAAGGCATGGGCTTGTGTCTTTGTAGGGTACCCCCCAAAAGGGGGGTTTTGAAGGGGAACCAAAGGGAAACCAAACCATTTTGGGGTCCCCCCATTTTGGCGCATACCGATATGTTTGATGCTGGTTTCTAGGCGGAACCTTAGAATGCACAAAAAAGAATACTAGTAGTCGAACTGTGCGAAAACTCCAACTTCTTGCAGATCGTCCTTCCAAGGCGAAGCGTCCCCTGCTGGAACTTTGGTGAGTAACCTGCCCCTGTCTGATGAGAATCTTGGCGGAGGTCGTGTGCGAATCCCGCGAAACATGGACGAGCATCTCCGCTTTCCGCAAAAGTGACCCCCAGGCATCTCTGCGGACTTTGCTCGGTGACTCAAAGGCATCGGAACCGATTAGCTTGGGGCCCTTCGCCTCAAGGAACCACTCCCAAATGAGGGTGTCTTTCTCTTTTTCGGGAAACCCCCCAACACCTCGGGTTCTTTTGGGTTTTCCTTGAAACCAAAAAAAAAGGCACCAGCTCAAAGAAACACACACTTGTTGGGGGTTTTGGAAAAACCCCCCTCAAAACGGATTTCTCGGGTTTTTCCTGTTGTCCCTGTAAACACAAAAAAAAGCTTGGCGCAGCGGGACCGCACGCCAGAGCTCAGCCCCGGGCCCTAGGGACACCGCCTCCACCTGCTGCTTCGCCTCACTCGTCTTCGGCGTCCGGTGGATGCAACGGGGACACACGAAGCGAATGGGCAGAAGCACCGCTTGAGCATTGGTACATATGCGGAGTTGAGACTCTTTGGTATTGGATGTATTGGTAATTAATTAAAAAGAGGGTTGGACAAAGTTATTGGCATGGTGTTGGAAAACAAGTGCCAGTCGAACGCCCGGCAAAGGCCCAACAAAAGGTGGAGGAGAATTCGAAGGGAAGCATCTAAGATCACTCAGCTTTCAAAAAACGCAGATTTTGGAAGAACCCGTCCAGCTCAGCTCAGCCCACTGTCTGAGCCGCGGGCTTTCGGCGGCATGGCTCTTGGGTTCTGTTCAGAGTTCTACCCGCTACCCTGGAAACCCGAACAGCGGCACAGCGGCACAGCGGCGCAGGCGGAAATCAAAGAGAACCTCATAGGCAGCTGTTGGTTTCGCTGTCACTGACGCTAACTCTGCGAGGCCGCCATCTAAACTAAAGCCCATGCGAGCCGAGTAAAACAAAGCAGGCCATCAACGAAAGGAAGGACAAAGCCGTCTGCTTCCAAAAGCACGTGTTACATTCATAGCAACTCGTAAACCTCATCGGACCTGGTTGTCTTCCCTAAAAAATGACATCCTTTTGGAGGTGTCTAGTTTTGTGGATGGAAATGCTTCATTTGCCCGTTGGCAGCTTGATCAATGCGCAAATGGCCCTGACTTGCCCTTTCACTCGCCCCTCCCCCCGCCTCATTCGTTCGCTGACGCAAAAACGCTGCATGATTCATCACCATTTGGCAATGGCAAGCTTCTCTCACCACTCACCAAAATTTGCATCAGCAAAGGTCGGTTCAGGGTCCGGAAGCGCAACATTTGAAAGGCGGAAACTCTAGGACAAACGCACAGTCGCCACTGGCCGCATGCATGCAACGCGTCACACCGCCACCCTCGGGCTGCAAAACCTTTCTCCGCAGACACTCCGAAATTCGCCCGTTGATTCTCGCGCTCAGAGACGGCGGCCGCGGCGGCCGCACTTGCGCCGGGTGCAGTCAGTGGGAATGGGAGTCACGTCCTGCAAAGCAAATCACTGGAGTCAAAATCAAAAGCCTTAGCTACTGCGGGTTGCCAAGCTGCCAAAAAAACAATGATGCTGCAACTGTCAACTGCTCCGATTGTCGCTCAACAGAATCTCGAGATTTTTGTAAGGGCCGCACGCAAGCAGAGAGCCAAGCAGCAAAGAATCCAAAACATGGCGGAGTTCCCGCAAAAGCCATATTCGCAAGGGTCACTCTTGGCAGCGAATGGTAACCACGGATCATGAAGGGTCATGAATCTTCATTCATGGCTCCTCGAACCAGCATTGGACTACGACAGGCGCCATGCAAAAAAAAAAAAAACACGCTGGAACGGCGCGCCTCGATGCGCCCGATCTTCATGCCGCTACGTGCCAAGGCACGGAGGGCGCTCTGCGCGCCAGGGCCTGTCTGATGTGGACAGAAATGAATGGGGGAAATGTCGTCCCACAATTTTCAGTGTTCCAACCAGTCAATTTCAGAGCTGTATGGCTGTGAGTCAAAAGCAATGGTACCATTTTGGGGTAGGTGCACCACCCATTTTAAAACCTATTTTAGTTGGGATTGGATCGGATGTTCACCGGGGGTTCTCGCTTTTGACCCATGGCCGTATGAGTGCCAGCGTCCATATCCCGCCATGGAAAACACCGGCTAATGAATCAATGGCTGGCGTGCTCCTAAGTCCGATTCAAAGCATGAGAAGCATGTTGGGGCACGAAATCCTAGTTGGGTCTCTCCAACCCCCGAAAAATCGGTTCGGTTCCCTTCAGCTTCGCAATCAGATCTAGCCCAAAAAGGGGCTCCTTCAAAAAAGGCTCCTGCCCGTTTGCCAGTGGATTCCATGCCATTCCAAAAGGACATCTACAGGTGTCTTACAATACCCCAAAATGGTTCTCCCCCCTTTCGCTGTTGCGAGACACCCCCACGCGGAGAGCGTGACGAGAGCACGCGCCTGGGGTCCGGGTCTTGGTGCCGCCGGTGGCGCGGAGCTTGATGTGCAGCGCCCCGATGCCCAGCTCCTGGGCCCGCGTCGCGTCGTGAGAGCTCGGCAGACGTCAGGTTAAGGGCCTGAGGCGTCTGAGAACCGAAGAAGAAAAAAAACGAACAAGTGAAGTGCCTGAGATGCTTGCCCCAACAGAATTGTGTTTTTTTTTGGGTCAGCTCGACCGGCTGGATTGGCAACAAAAGCACGCCTGGCAACAACAAGGCACGCGTCAGAGCCGCCCAACGAGCTCTCATCCACTTGGGACTCGCCCCCACAACCTCCCGGTCCGCTCCTTGCAGCGGGCGGCCACATCCTGGGCTGCCAGCATCGCCGCGTAGGGCGATGACCTCAGCGCCAGCCCGGCACTTGCCACGTGGCGCCTCGCCTTCCAAAAGGGGGTCAATCCACAGGCATGGGTTCCTCAATAGTTGGATCCCTGGAGAGTTAGACCAAGTTCCAAGATATGCCCGAGCCAAGCATCGTTTTAAAGACCAAACAACATGTGCATGAATGGCGTGCTGCGTTTGCCCGTCCTCTCCTGGACATGTCTCGCCTTCTTAGGAACAAGGGCGAATTTCTCGCTGGGACCGGCGAATTGCCGTTTGTCATGGTTCGCAACATCTGGATGATGTCTGGTTTTTCTTCCTTTTTTTCCCCGCTTTAAAGGGAACCCCACACATTTTCTGGGGCTCAGGGATTCCATGAAGACAAACCGCTCTTGGGCACCCCAGCTCATCGCGGTCTGCCTTCACCTGACGACCCACGAATCGATCAACTGCCGCCATGTTCCCGGCTCGCTTGAGCCAACGGCACGGCGAGCGGCGAGCAGCTGGCCTTCATGCCTCCAGTGACGCGCATGATGGTCTCCCTGCCCGAGAGGTCAGTGACCTCACGCTTGAGTCACGGCTTTGAGCGCTAGGGGAGGGTGGTGGTAATGTTGCCTTTGAGCGCTAGAGGGTTGCCAGAGCTTGTTTTAGTATTGAATCATGTTGCTAAACACGAAACGCTAAACTCTGCCAAAGTCAGCCGGAGCAACGCCAAACAGGAATCAAAGCTTCTGAAGGGCTAGGCAAGGCAAAGATTGGCCAACCTGTGGTCAGACAACTTGCCAGCCCGTGAATTTTTCAGGGAAAACTCTTCCCCGAAACACCCACTGGAGGTCTGGATCAGAGATCGGCATGGCTTCCTGCCTGCATGCCATGGCTACCCAAACTCAACTGGAAACCTTGCGATTGACCACATGGTCAAAAAAATCATGTTGCATGGTCCATAGGCAGCTTCTGGCGGCTTATCATCTTCGAGCTGAGCTGACGCCCCCCCATCCCGCGGGTCGCATGGGCGACACGTCTGATCACAAGACACGGCCAAGGAAGACACATGGACGAAGGTGTCGTTGAAGGAGGCGTAGATGTGTGCAACACCTCAGGCGCAACCATGGCGTCTGAGGGGACAAAATGAAGAGGTTGTGTGAACCTAAGCGGGTCTGTCTAGCCCTTGCATCCAAGTTTTGTAGAATTTCAGCGCCACATCCATTTCCGACCCTAAGGGAATGGGCAAGCCTGCGTCTGAGGCTCTGGCCGAAGACGACCTCGCCCTCACGGACTTGCGGCCTTGTCGAATTGTAGGTGGGGGGAAGGCGTCAAGCGGCCTGTGGGTGACTGCCAGTGAGTAGAAAATGTGGTCTCTCTTGCCCTCCTGCCAAATGTTGGAGTAGACATAGTGTTGCAAATCCACTGCATGTGGAAAGTGGAAACGACTGCACTTTCTAAGTTGGGTGAAACATCTTTTCTCAAACTCACCAACATCCAATAAAGAGAATTCAGGCCAGCTGTGCAGCTTGCCCGCCCGAGAATCTGATCCAAACAATGAAGCTGCATTCGCCAGTGCTGTCAACATCAAAAAAAAACATCTGGGCAACCAAATCCAACCTGAAAAAACTCGAAAACCTACCAAGAACGATTCATGAAACTTCCTGAGTTCATTCTCTCAACGTGCGCAAGCAGACATCCACCAACATTCACGAACACCGACATAAGGCATTCGCTAACACTCCTAGCCCGCCAGTTTTAACATCAGCCGTCGGCATCTCTACGGCTGTTGTCAAACCCTCTAAGCGGCTGTCTTTTTCGAGGGTGCCTGTTGTGTGGTTGTGTTAAAGGGATACCAGAGGACCATTGTTTTTGCTATTTTAGGACAAACTCTACTCCAAACTTCTTGCAGTCCCCGTCTGCTCAAACTACTGGGAACGCGGGAAGAAGAACCCGTGAAGGACCTGTGCCCCCCGAGCTCCGGACCCCAACGACACCGCTTCCACCTGCTGTTTCGCCTCAACTCGGCTCATGTTTTTGCAACGGCCCGTCGCCCGGAAACGCTGGAGCTGTGGTCGAGATGAGTTACGCATGAAGTTTGCTAAAAACGATTCTGGTTCAAGGTGCCAGCGGGCGTTTCTCGAAATTGCGGACAGGTAGTGGCTTCCCTTTGGTTTCTCCATCCCCCACCCTAAAAAAGGTCCCCTATTTTGAGACACACAATGCTGCAACGGGCTTCCTCTTCAGTTGAAGCACGCAGAATCCCTTCGATTGTCAGTGGTCTTTGAGGGAACCACGGAGGCTACCCCCAAAAAGGTTGAAAGGACTCGCAACCCACAGGTCTGGTCCGCTTCACCAGTTTGCTCAGGCCCCGGCTTTGGGCGGCATGGCGAATCAGCGAATCAGAGTTTCCGCGCGTTACCCTCCAAGCCCAAGAAACGGCGGAGCTGCTTGAGTCTGCCGTTTTTTGAGTTGGCATCCCTCATTGTTCTTTTTTTCCCCTTGGGAAACCAAAAGGAAACCCGCAATTGTGAGGGGTGCCCCCAAACAAGCACGCACACACACACACACACACCCTTTTAGCTGCACGGGGGAAAAACAACAACAAAAAACGCTGAGGGCCCCACAAAAGCCCATCGACTTTGGGCACAAGACTTGAAAAGGCCTTGCCATAACCCCTATGAAACGAGGTAGGGGGACCAACGACTAAACGGCCAAGAGAGTGTCAAGGGATGCAAAGAAGGCCTAGCTATAAACGTCATGCAACCAGGTAGGAGGGCCACCTAAAAAAATGTGTCCGAAAAGGGGTCTGGGAGCTGCTCAAGCTGTGGGATGCTTTGAAAAAGCGGAGCCTCAACGAAACCTTGGACTTCATCTCATCCTTCTCGACTCTTTTCGGGGGCGGGGATCATGTCCCTGTGAGCTTCCGTCGTGCACTCTGATGTTCCTTCGCAATGACCTGAGGTGCCCACTTTATGGTGAGCCCGCCCCCAACTAAGATGGAACTTGACGGGGGGTCCGGGGGTCCGGGGGTTGCGGGGCCTTGGAAGACGAAAACCTTCGCCTCCCAGGCCTTTTGCTCGCCACTTGCCGTCCAACTTTGGGGCCGCGTGCTGCCGACGGGATGAAAGGCGAATCCGTCCGGGTCGCCCACTTGGCTGGGAGCAATCGGCAGATTTCTCAGCTGGGGGACATGTTCAACGTGAATCTGGTTGAAGATATGCTCCAAAACATCTTCCAAATGCACGCTGGAGGCTCAGGCGGCTCCCAGGTGACTCACCTTTAAGACCCCGTCGGCCTTCAAAGGATCAAGAGAGGATTGTCGGCTGGGCAATGCAAGAACCTTACGGTTTGCGGCGAAGAATGCGCACTGCCAAGCCTGGCACAAGAAACGTAGGGGAACCCCAAGTGGATTTGTCTCCGAATGGGATATTTGGAACCTGCAAATGGAGGGTGGTCTCCGTATGGTGGTCACTTAGAGTCAGAGTCTATTTTGCAACCTGCACGCTTTGCGCGTGTTTCTTGTACGACCATTCTTGAACGCAAAATTACTCACCTCTAAGTCTCCCCTTGTCGCCTGAAAGAAAATGGCATCACCAATTGTCCATCCTTACCACTTGGCCAAGCTTTAATTGTACAGCCAAGAAAGAACAACGCACACCAACATGGTTGTGCTTATATATATAATATTAGTGAACAAATCATAGTAATAATGAATAGATAAATTAAACAATAGATAGGGGAAAAAAAAAACAAAAAACATGCCGAGCACGGTGATGTCAAACACAAAAGACGCTGGCATGGCAGCTTGCGGTGCTCAATGCCTCTCACAGAAGCCCGCCGAGACAAAAATTGGCGCGCTGTCGAGTGCGCGGGATTAGGTAGGCTTGGGAATCCCAGCACCACGCCCCCAAGGCCGAGACCAAATGGCGCCAGGCAACCCCCACAGTCCATAGGCTCTTCTTCTTTGCTTTTTCTTTTGCTTCTGCTTGTTCTTCTTTGCAAAAACCTCTTCTTTGACAACCCCCAAGAAGTGTTCTCAAAGAACCTCTCCAATTATTCGCTACTTGAAAATAAACTCACCTGCAGTTTCAAAGCTTTGGACTTGCGCCGGCCCCAGCACAAGGCCTCGGGAGAGATGGGGGCAGTTTTGGCCCCTGAGAATCATTGCCTCTCCGACCTCTCTGGGCTTCGTTCTGCGTGCAGTCGAACGGAAATGAAATGAGTCAAAACTAAAACCAGGTATAAAAATGGTTGACCCAGAACCATGCTTCAAGAATTAAGCAGGATATCCGCAGCTATTTCTGGCTGGGACCGTCCCTAGCCTTCATCTACCAAAGGGCTTTGAGCACGTGGCTCAAATGCCTTTGGCACGACGCCCTAGGCGGGCTGCAACATCTCGCCCTTCTGCCAGTGCCTCTCACGGCACCGCTTTGCCTGGCCAAAAACAGGTTCAAAGAGGGTTTTGGAGTCAAACATGGGGCCAAAGATCCTGGTCCGCTGTTTTTTCTCGGTAGGATCGAGAGCCACTGCTTTAGACCGTCCTTCCACCCCATGCACTTTGTCAAATTGGGATCGGTTGTAATTGCCCAGTTTGGGTACTTGTAACGTGTTTTCAACTTGTTGTTCTTGAGGTTGTTCTAATATGTCAACTTGGGAAACTCATTCACTTTGGGAAGCTTCCTCTGAGTGTGGTGTTGTGGCTCACAAACTTAACATGACCTTTTGCTAACCCAAACCGCTCTTGTGTAGGTTCCGTGTTGATCCCCCCCTGGGAATTTGGGTTGTCACCCCAAAAAAGGGTTCCAACAGTAAGAACCTTCAAAACGAGGGGGTTGCGGGGTCGGAGAACAGTCGCGCGGCCGTACGAAAGCCAGCCTCATCTTCGTCGCAGGGGTCTGGCGAAGGAGAGATATGGAGGTCAGCACCGTGGCCCCTTCACTGCTTTGCAGGAAGCTTCCCCTTTGAAATGGGCAAAAAGGTGGATGGCATTGATTCTGGACAGATAGAGGGATAAAAGATGGATGGTGATTTGGAGTCAACTACCAGAGAACTTTGGAAAACCTTTTTTTCCATCGAAAAGCCACTTCTCAGTGCTTCAAACCGAGGCGGTGACGCTTCATGAAAGCCCACGCCCAGCCCAGTGACTCTGCTAGAAGAATGACATTCTGTCCGGGATTGGCCATTTCTTTCCAATTGGCATGTGCGCAAAAACCAAGCCATCCACTAAAACTGAAGAGAAGCAGCAATCGACAAACAACAAAAGCATGGCAAGAACACTGAAGTTGCTTTGCCCCGAACCGACCAAGCAAACATGGAGCTCGAGCATGCGCAACTGGCAGACAAGAAGCGCAAGACTTCAAGAGGAGGCCAGCCTTGCCCAACTGGGCCATAGGCGTCCTTTTAGGGGAAGTAGATGGCTCTGGTAGATGATTAAACCACCAGGTAAACCAGGAATCGAAACCCATCTATTTTTCGACCAAAACAGCCAAAAAGGACACCTATGAACTGGGCGTAAACCTCAGAAGTGGATTTTTCGTATCCGAACATCCCAAGCCCGCCTGCGCCGCGCCGAAACCTCAGTGGTTGCAGGGGCGGTGTGGGGGTGGGGGGGGGGGGGCTGGGGTTCAAGTGACAGCTGCCCTCGAGTCCATGGGAGCTCCAAAAAGGCCGTGACACCAAGTCCTGCAACCTTCCATGTTAGTTGGAAAATTCGCATTTCGGGGGTTCCACCAGCTCATGCGAAGGGAAAAACAAATCGCATTTGGGCTTCCCACCAAATCAGGTGATTCGGAACAAAAAAAAAAAAAATCACCTCCACGGAATGGGCGCGGCGTTCCATCAGAAAAAAATATATCCGCCAGATGCTCTCTCAGGTCCCCGGACATCTCTTCCAGGTGATCCTTCAGGGAGTACTTCACCGCAGCAGACCTCGCTATTCGGGGGATTTGAAGCGTTTCCGTCTGGCTGTGGGTCGAAAATAGGTCTCTGGGTGAAAACAGACCAACACCTGCGGATGTGTGGTGGTTTAATGTTGACACTCATCTTAGTCCAAAGCGATGCGCGACAATCATGGTCCCACTCAGGCGGGGGTTCTGGAAGTTCCTCTCAACCGGGACCCTCTTCCATGAAAAGAAAGGAGGGGCGTTGATGTATCAGCCAAACCACCACTCCCTGAGTCATGTTGACGCCGGAGAATTCACCCATGAGGAGTGTTGATCCCTCCAAGAGTGAAGAACCCCCACTAAAAATAAGGGACACCCTCTATTGATCAAGCAGGGGTTTATTCGTCTGGGTACCCGCAGCATTCCTGGCTGGCTCTCCTTCACAGCACAGCCAGCGGAAGAGTTGAAAGTGACGGAGCCGACCGTGAAATCCCGAAGATGCGAAATGGGTGCCTCTCAAAATAACAACCACAAAAAACAACCGTGGTTTTGTTAGTTTCCCTTAAACTATTTCACAAACGACACGAACACATTGGGTTGTCCCCCGCCCCTGAGAAACAAGTTTGGTTGCTTCCCCGTGTCCGCGGACTCCCCAAAGGCTACCATTCAAAGCTTTAGTTGTTCGGCGTGGCAGAAAACTTGGTGTTTTGCAGCCACGCACTCAAAACGAACAAATCTTGCTTCATTGATTGGGGACCCTGTGGTGCTACAACTTCCAAAGGGAGTTGTGCCATCTACCAATTTTCAGGGCCAGGTGCCTCCTGTATCAGACCGTTGCTTCGAGCCTATGCTCAAGACTTTGTTGCTGTTGACCCCTCTGCAAAAACTTTAACTGGTGGATTTAGTGGAAAAACCCCTTCATTTCCCAAAAAGTTAAAGTCTTAAGATCCAACCCAATAGCAGTCAAGAAGACATCGACCTTCCGTGAAAAGCGAACCCGATCGTCGCAATGGCTTTTCGGCTTGGGGCGGCCCTGTTCCTGCGCCAAACAGACGTGGAGATTGGGTGCTTCGGGGTCCCACCGCTTGCTTTGCCTCACTTGCTCACCTGAGTGGTCCTCTTATAGCCGAAGCTTACCGTACAAAAACCGATCAGAAAAAGCATGTGGCTCCTAGGGTCCAGAACCCGAACTTGAACTTGGCTTTGTCTCAGAATCGGAACGGGTCCCCATGTTTTGGAGCTTCGGTTGCCATGTGGAACCGAAGCCAACCAAAGGGGCAGCAACGACTCCCAAAAAGGAAAGAGAAAAGCGAGACAGATGGTCCTCAACAAAAGAGCAACAACAACAACCCCCCAAAAAATATATATATATATACATGTGTGAAACCTCCACACAAAAAAAAAGAGATGCAAAAAAATGTGTGAGAGCCAGTGAAAACGGGACGTTGCTTCCCGGTTGCGCCGGATCCAACTGCATTCGCTTCGGCCCGCGGCAGGAGGCTCTTGCTCAGCTGCGCGCCGAAGCCCTCCGGCGCGAAGCGGGCGAAGCGGGGGACACGCGGCGGTGGGGTCGAACATCGGTGCCCGTGGCATGGGGTGCCGTGGGTTGCCGTGGTTAAAGAGTTGCAATATGGGTTGCCATGTTTCAACAATAGGTCAACAATAGGGTCAACAATAGGGGGTCAACAATGTACAGGATTAAGAAGGCGGATCTCCGCAGCGATTTTCGGTTGGGTTCGTCCCTCACTAACCTTCATCTACCCGGGTTTTGATTGTGACTCAAATGGGTTTGGTGGAAACATGGACCAAAACCTGCGGTATTCTGGTGGTTTAATCTGACCCATACCCATGTGTTGCTTCGGAAGGAACGAGAAGGAGCCACCGATCCCCGGCCAAAAATGGGGAAGCCTCAAGACAGGCCGCAAAATTCGTAGATCACCTTTTTGTTGGAGATCCGCTGAGCTTGTAGTTGAAAAATCGACTCGTGCATGGCACCCCCCGGCTGCAAGGAAATCCGAGGAAAGACGACCCCTTGGGCGGGTTAGGTGTGCCCAGTCTTAACATGGCTGCTCCCGGAGTGAAGGCAAATGATGAAATGATCCCAAAAGATCCTCAGTCTCTGTATTCTCGGGCCGGGTCTGGTTTTCAGGTACCCCCCTTTGCCACACCTCCCGTCTTGGAAGGGAAAGTCGAAAGGCAAACCAACAAACAGTTTTTCTGTCTGAACATAGGCGTCCTTTTCGGGAAATAGATGGCCCTGCTACATGCTTAAACCACCAGGTAAACCAGGAATCGAAACCCATCTATTTTTCGACCAAAACAGCCAAAAAGGACACCTATGCCCACCAACTCCAAAACTGGCGAAGGCTGTTTTTTTTCCTCGCAGCGAGCGCGTGAGCCTCTGAGGCTCTGTGCCACACCCTTGCCGCAGAAAAAAAAAATAAGTGGCCCCAAGAGGGCTGCCAGAAAAGGTTCCGCATCCAAGGCCCCAACCATGTGCCCCTTTGGTCCCCCGATTTTATACCACTGAGCCCGAAGTAAACATCACAAGCGGCCGGTCAGAAAGCATGTTTACAGCCAGGGTACCTGTTCAGGGACACGTGGTTGGGCCCTTAGACAGTGAAGCGGAGACAAAAGGTTCCAGTCATACTGCCCATGTGAGCGTATGGGAATGTGTTTGTGCTTCCGGGCAGGGCAAATCCCACCTCTTCTGGCTTCCCGTCAAGGAGTCAGCTTGCCAGCCCAGGACGCCACGACGCCAAGGAGCAAGGTTGTATAACAACCTGTCCTTTCAGACAGAAAAAGGATGTATTTTGTATTTTGGCGCAAGCGCCCTATTCCTGAGGGCTAGTACTGTTTGGTTTCCAAACCATCGCCCGAGATGTGTGGTCTCCTTCGTCTCCTGTACAACTCCGGAGATGTCACGGACTTTAAACGACTACGCAGACCACATGCACTCGCTAAGCAGTTTGACCCCCATTGAGGCTCCTGTACAAACCCTCCGAGATGGGGGGTCAGCCCGAAAAGATGTTGAACAGCAGCCTCAGCCGCACCAAGCCACTCAGATCCAAGGCTTTGGAGAACAACCACGAAAAGGGGCGCCCACGACAAAAAGACACGCCCAAATGCTTCTAGCTTTCGGCTCTGTCACAAAATGCTCAGGAGTCCACTTGCTGAACTGGCGACACCCTCTAGCTTCTGTAGAAGATGCCTCTCAAAACTGCTGCCCATCCTCAATTTCTGGCTTACAGGGAAACACACCCCAAAAGTAATGTTGAGAACCCCTCAAAATGTCGCCACTCAAGATCGCCACAATAAGGGGGAAGAGGCACTTGGGTTTGTCTCAAACAGGGATCCCCAGAATGGGCTTCGGCTTCCTTTTTGTTGCACCTCACCATCCAAAAACAACACCAACTCCAACAACTTAAACCCCACAGAAGGGGTCCCAACCCGCTTGGCAAAAACCGCTTAGACGCCAAACGGCTGGCTCCACGAGCTCATCGCCACATCTCTTCGCTGAAATCCGTCTGCTCCCGCATCTCAGACCACGTCCTCGGCGAAAACAGGTCGATCGCAAGAGAAATATGCGGGCCAAAAAAAGGAGCTCGTTTCCCTGTAGGGGTTCCCTTTGGGTTCCCTTAAGAACCACCCAGCTCGCCAGCTGCGAATCTGTTTTTCTCCCCACGAACCGTGGTTGTGTTTAGGGCTCGTGTCCAGCAAAGAGCTGCGTTTACGGAGTCTAGCGAGCTTCTCCTCAAGTCAGCCGCCCGCCCCCCCCCGGCCCCGTGGGGCGGGTGTTTCTGCTCCAGGGGCGTGCGGAAGGAGCGTTGGGCGGAAGCTCCCAATGGGTCAGGCAAAAACCACTTGGGGAAGTTTATGAAAATGGGTCTTGAGCCCACCACAAATATATCACAATCACTTGCAATGGCTCCACAAGGGGGCCCTTCATATGAAACCGGAAAGAGGTATCCCATGTGAGAAAGGGACAGCTCTTTCAGCAATTCTGCGGTCCAATACGGGGGTTGTCTCACATTTCGGGGACCAATAGGATTGGCTTCTTTTGGGGCTTTCCCTTTTGACCCAACCCGGGGTGCCATCCAAAAGCCACAACCCAAAGACCAAAGAGCCAAAGCATCGCTTTAGAATACCGCCTTGTATTTGTCTGGCAAAACTGCGAATTGCCAAAACTAACCATGCCACATTTCTGCGAGGCCTCTGATGAGGGATGGGCTCCTTCCCAAACGAGTCCCCGTTCCATATTGAAAACACCATGGCCGTGTTTTTACTGATCTGCCCACTTCCTTTCTTGACTGCGTCTGACGAGTGACTCGGCTCCACCGCAATCGTGTGAGGTGCCTATACTTTGGTCAACCTCGACCCGGATTCAAACCTTTCTATTATCCTCATTTGAGACAAGGGCAAAGATGTAAGATCATAAGCCTAGGATTCAAAAATCTTTGCTAAACTTCCAAATGTTGCGCTAGACCCAGAAAAAAATAACGGCCTGGACAAAGGGACTGATTCTGGGGACTCCGACCCAGGGTGGAAAGAACGAAAACATGGAGCGACACCTCCGTCCCATTTGGGTATCTATCAAAATACGAAGCAGTCCCCAAAAGAGCCAAGCGACTTCCTTTTGATGTCCCAATCAAGTGCCAACCAGAAGTGCCATCTCTCATGTGGCTGTCAAAAGCAAGCCCCCAAAAAAGGCGCCCTGGCAAATGGAGGCAACGCCTAAAGAGTCTCCGGCCCATTTCCCCGTGGCTTCAATTTGACCTCCTGCCGGGGCGGCAGAGCGGCAGATGCAGCGGCGCAAAGCAGGGCGCCGGCGCGGCTTCCGCCGCCGGCAGATCCGGGGCCAGGGAAGTGGCCGCCCTCACGCTGGACCGGCGCAGCAGGGGCGCGGTGCCTGCGAAGCCTCGGGAAACAACGGAAACGGCGCCCCGAGGCCGACCAAAGGGCGGGGGAAAATCCTCGGGTCAAATAAAATCCCGGGGGTGATTCACGGCGGTTCAAAGAGGATGCCGCTTTGCTACGGATTGGAGGCGCTCGGAACGCGGAAATGAACACATAAAATTAGGCCTGGGAAACTCCAACATGTCCACCTCCCTGATTGTTGGAAGGCTGGTATTTCCTTCCCTGGAAACGCTTCTGTCGCCGAGACACCCACGGAAAGTCGAGTCGGTTGGATCACGATGGGCTTGCCACGTCGGATGTCTGAGGTGCTGGGGCAAACGCTGTGCTGGATAAAGCCGGTGTAGGGATTTCGTGCCATCCTCCTCAGCATGCGCGCTCAGCTTCCTTTCCTAAAAAATGAAAAAACCAATGGGTGTGGTGTATTCTGTGTATAGAGAGAGAGAGAGTATAGTATATTATATTATGTATATATATATATACACCCTCAGGACTGGTCGCCGTCACATTTCGAGCTACTGTAAAAGCGCCGTGCCAGTGGGATTTGCGTGGGACGCACCCATGCAAGGGGCTCATTGTTGTATCGCAGCAGAGGTTAACACGTGTCTCAGACGTGCAGACGTTCGTGTAGACGCACTCTGTCCTGCGGGGTAATAGAGACTGTATATGTTTGTATGTATATATTTTTCTGTATCTCTATAGTTTCTTATATATATATATATACACACACGTGCAACACTGTCTTGCTGAGTCTTGCTCTGATGTTTTGCGTGGACCCTTCTGTGACATGTTCCCCAGAGATACTTTTTTGGCTGACAGGGTAGGCTCATGACATTGCAGGAGGCCGCGTCTTTGTCGTTTGTGATTTTGTTGCAATTGATAGGGCGCACAGGCAGCACAGCCGATCCGGCGCTAGCCTTCGTTCAATCCACCATCTTGCAACAGCATCGGTTTCCTTTGCAGTTCTCTGCGTTGCCACGCGAGAACCATTCGCAGAAGGGGCTGTTTCCTTTGCCAAGCTTTGTGTGCGCGGCCCTTGTCTTCTCCAGCCGCCTGCGCCGGCATCAGAGTTCAGACCCATTGATTGAGTCGTTTGGGGTAGGCAGTTGGACCCAAATTTTCCTTGGCGCGTCGTTTTGAAAACAGGAACAAGCACACGCACAAGAACACGTGGACAGTCCACTTTGGCATCCAGTCTATCGGCCAAGCTGGCTGAAAGTATAAAGAGAGAATAGGACACAAGGCTCTTTCGCAAATTTCATGTGCATCGTTTGCCTTCCAAGGCCTTTGATGTGGACGCGCAAAAGAACAAATCGGCCACCGCGCAGTTTTCTGGGCACGCAGGCAGAAAACACACGCTGAAGTATTTGCGGTTCTTTGCGCACACTGGAGCTTCGAACGTTATCAATCCCCCCATCCCCCCACCACCACCTAAAACATGTTGCAAACAGCAGAAATTACCAATGTGATTGGCAGGGCGTGAACAAAACCCCACCAACTGTTTCTCCACATACGTTTGTTCACAACGAACACCTGGTGATATGTGTCCAAAATAGGGGTATCCCTCCTTAAATCTTAGAAGGACACCCTCATATAGAAATCCTGCTTGTGTGTGTGTGTGTGATGTCTGTGTATGTGTGTGTGTGCTCCTGTTGTTTCTTAAAACCCAAAGCAGGCCCTCCAGGGCTACCCCAAGATAGACTTAAACCCAGAGGTGAACCAACTCTGGTTTAAGTCCATGCTGGGGTAATCAAAAAGTAGAACGCAAAACCGGCCAACAACTCTGCGATCGCTCTCTGTCTCCAGCATGTCAACCTGAGATGCCCAACACAGGTCGCAACAGCGCCGAAAGCAATTGCCTTCTTCAGGTTGAGACACTCCCCATCGGTTGGACTTTGAAAGGGACTGAAAAAGGAAATTAATTTCCAAGAAAACAATTCACCGCGGTTTAAGCGTGCTCATTTGGATTTTCCCTTGAATCTAACTTTTTTTGGGGTCAACAGAAACTCACGTACAAGTAGCTTCCGGGAAATACATAGACCAGGAGGAGGACTGTTTTTTTGTGCGGAGCTGAGCCTACCCCGGCACGTGCGTTGGAGGAGAGAGCTGCTTTTTGGGTGCAAAATAGAATCATGGGTCAATTTGCGTTTGTGTTCTCACCAGTCTTTGCCCTCAGCGACTCAGGAATACAGCCCAATTCGGGTCCAGAAAGCGCGAAGCGACGCTGGGCCGCACATTAGTGATTCTTGTTTAAACAAGGGATGGAGCGTTTTCCCACTCAGAGATAAAGAGGCTCATGGAAAATGTGGCGCCGGAGGTCCCGAGTCTAAGGCAGAAGTGCTACCCGTCTTGAAATCTGCTTTGCGCAAGGGCTCTCTGATGGCAGCAAATGGCTCGCCAGCATTTCAGTCAACGGCAAAGGCCTTCAAGAAGCCTTCGCTGGTCGGTGTAAGTCACCTACGCAAGGTTTTCACCCCTGTAGCTGCTTTGCCCTGCGCACTCTAAAGAAGATGAGTCGTGGAGCAAAGCCCATGGCGAAAGAAACGGTCCGTGCTTTTAAGATGCCCGCAGGAGACAATCGTGCTGAGGCCCGTATGGGATGCATCAAGAATAACTTGCGCCGCATGGGCCAGCTGGGCAGACTTAATGTTTTGTCAAAAACGAAACGAGTACAGGTACTGGCAAGTGCGCGCTTGCATAGGCGACCAGGTGTGACGGCAGTACTGGAAGCGCAGATGTATAGACAAGCCTTGTCCAAAGGGAGGATTAGGCTAAGTCCCCGAGATGCTTTCAATGTAGATACCTGCGAATGGCTAGAGGTTTGAAGCGAAGAAGAAAAAAAAGGCGGGCAAGGTGCTCTTGGAGCGACGGCGAACCATGCGTCCTGAGCGTATCTATATATTACATATTATATCATATTATCTATGTATAACAACCTGTGTGACCTGGTTGGCTATGTTTACCCCAGCTCCCGGGGCTGTTTCTTTGCGCAGCCCTCGCCTCTCGCCTCTCCGGGGATTTCTTGAAGCGAAGTCTCCGAGCCGAAGAGACGCAACCCCTCGGGGCACCCGACTGGATCTGGTTCGATACATCGGCGAACCACATTCTGGCCCAGCCCGCACGTGGAGAAAAAAAACATCCATCCGAGTTGGTGTCCCGGAGTCCCCAAGACCGGTTCATTCGGAAAAAACAGGGGGGAAAAAAAACAAAGCAAAAAAAACATGGAACATCGCTGTCCTTCCCAAAACCCGCACGTGTCTCGAGGTCAACGTGTCTCAAGCCTCCAGACCCAAGGAATTCGAAAGGACACGCCGAGGCTCCGATGCAGCGGTTCTTCTTGCAGCACATGGGGCTGCTCCCGGCTTGGGTTCCTTGGCGTGCACACGCACAGCTCAAAAACCAGCATGAGCCAAGGAGTCGTGAAGATCAGGGCCGCGGTTGTTTGAGGCTGTGCAATTCTTTCAGTCGGAATTCCGAAGCTAACATTGGCAAAAGATGAACCATCAATGAGCATCCCAACTCTTCAAAGCAAACCGGCGGGTCACCGGAGGGTCACAAGCATTCACAAAAAGGCACCACCCCGTGGGCGCCACCCGGGGATGACAGGTGAAGCGAGCAGTCTGAGCCACAGTTGCCAAGCTCAAAGCTTCTCCCCTTCTCCCCTTCGGCCCTGGGTTTTGCAAAGAACCTGGCGTGTGTGTGTCTTAAATAGCAACTCAACCCCAGTGAAGCCCTTCCAAAGCAGACTCATTGCACAATCGAGCTGGTGCTGCTCTAGTTGCATGCCCCGGAGCGAGGCCAACTTGGGCATCCGGTTGGTTTTGTTGCGAGACCAAAGCACCATTTGTGACCAAAGCGGGAAACATGGCCAGTTGCAGTGGTTGATGGTTGGCTTACTTGCAATTCTAAGGAAATCAACCCAACTGTCCCACTGTCGTCCCTTCCAAGTCGTCCCTCCCCCATTCTTCCGCGTGCTCGAGCGGCCAATCAACGAAGGGGTTGCGGGCAACGCTTTGTGCGCCGAGCTGGCTCCCTTTTGACAGGAAACGGTCAGTCATGGCGGTCATGGCTCCAAAGGCGAAAGGCGGACTGACTTGCATTTAAGATCTGCGGCAGGCACGGAAGAATCCGCCAATGGTCCTGGGGGTACCTTCCAATTCCATTCTTTCCGGGGATCCTTCTTTCAGAAAATTTCCGGAAACCCGGGAAGACGGCTGGTTCTTGAAAACAAGGTTGGTTGGAAAGAATGGAAAAGGAATCAGCCCCTAGAATGGTGCTGCAAGATACCCAGCGATGGCCAGCGCACAACCAAAACGCCGGAGTGCGTGAGGGCATGCCAAAGAAATTCGATTCGGTGCACCAGTGCACCTATGGGCAATCGCTTGGGTAAACATGTGTGGCTCTGAATCTTCATTGGGAGCACCTGGCAGCACATTGGACAAGGTGCTCTGTAGCCAGGAATCCGGTCAACATGATCTCCACCAAAAGGCGTCTCAATGAGCTCTTGCAATCAACCAAACGCATTTTGTTTGCCGTGACGGACGTGATCACCTCTGGAAGCGAGGCAATTGGATGATGTTGCCTTCGATGCTCAAACAACGGCGATACAAACGTGTCGGTCAGCAAAATGTGTTGGTCAGCATGTTGAATCTCTCTGAGAGTGCCAACAAAAAAACAGAGCCGTTGCATGACGGAAAGAATCTATCGGAAGAATCCAGAGTTGAGGCAACCACACTGCTATCTAGATCTGGGTGGCGTCCCTTTTGGAGTTGGTACACTTTTCTTAAGAATGCAGCGAATAGACACCAGCAGGGGGGTTGACCAGCATTTGTTTCTTCTTTGTCCCCCTTCCCCGTTTGGAGAGAAAAACAATTAGAGCCGGTCCCTTTCGAGGAACGCCCATGGCGCTCTGGTTTCCCTGCGCGGCCTCAAAAAGTGTGACACGTGCAAAAACCGACAAACCAAGGTCCAACTTGCGGCACCGAGATGGCGGTTCCGTTGGGTTCACTCTTTAAATCGGCGTCCTTCTCATTGGCGACTTGGATGGGTGGTTTGAAGCTTAGGGGTGGTTGTTTGTTGCTTGGACCGTCTACAAAACCAAGGGTTCAAATCCAAACTCCCAATCCACACCCAACCACGAAGCTGCTGGTTACATTCTTCCTCTGGCAGGATTCCCGGTATTGCAGGCCAGTAAAGGGATCACGAAACCAAACCAATCCAAACACTTAAGACTCTCACTTCCTGAGTGGAAGTGAAAGAAAAAGCCCGAACATTGTTGTTTTACCACTAAAATGGTACTTCCTGAGCGAAATCTGCCAAAAAAAGTCTCCCAACTTTTGATGTACCACTAAATGGTCTGCCCAAAAGTCTAAAAGGCCATGAACTCAGGAAGTGAGAAACTCATTCCCTGACTAGACCCACAGCTGGCGGGTACCAACTCAACAGCTCTTTGCCAGCCTGATAGAGGCTCAGCATACCCTCATGTGCCACCACATCCTGCAAGACCTGGCCACGATTCTCGTTTCGGAGCCTCAACAAAAAACATTCCAACCCTGGAAAAGCCCAAACAAAAAGGGAGCTCCGCACAGGGGCTCCCACGATTCTCGCTTCGGAGCCTCAAAAAAAAACATTCCAACCCTGGAAAAGCCCAAAGAAGAAGGGAGCTCCGCACAGGGGCTCCCACGATTCTCGTTTCGGAGCCTCCAAAAAAAAACATTCCAACCCTGGAAAAGCCCAAAGAAGAAGGGAGCTCCGCACAGGGGCTCCCACGATTCTCGTTTCGGAGCCTCCAAAAAAAACATTCCAACCCTGGAAAAGCCCAAAGAAGAAGGGAGCTCCACACAGGGGCTCCCACGATTCTCGTTTCGGAGCCTCCAAAAAACATTCCAACCCCGAAAAGCCCAAGGAAGAAGGGAGCTCCGCACAGGGGCTCCCACGATTCTCGTTTCGGAGCCTCCAAAAAAAACATTCCAACCCTGGAAAAGCCCAAAGAAGAAGGGAGCTCCACACAGGGGCTCCCACGATTCTCGTTTCGGAGCCTCCAAAAAACATTCCAACCCCGAAAAGCCCAAGGAAGAAGGGAGCTCCGCACAGGGGCTCCCACGATTCTCGTTTCGGAGCCTCCAAAAAACATTCCAACCCCGAAAAGCCCAAAGAAGAAGGGAGCTCCACACAGGGGCTCCCACGATTCTCGTTTCGGAGCCTCCAAAGAAAACATTCCAACCCTGGAAAAGCCCAAAGAAGAAGGGAGCTCCACACAGGGGCTCCCACGATTCTCGTTTCGGAGCCTCCAAAAAACATTCCAACCCCGAAAAGCCCAAAGAAGAAGGGAGCTCCACACAGGGGCTCCCACGATTCTCGTTGCCTCCAAAGAAAACATTCCAACCCTGGAAAAGCCCAAAGAAGAAGGGAGCTCCACACAGGGGCTCCCACGATTCTCGTTTCGGAGCCTCCAAAGAAAACAGTCCAACCCCGAAAAGCCCAAAAAAGAAGGGAGCTCCACACAGGGGCTCCCACGATTCTCGTTTCGGAGCCTCCAAAGAAAAAAACACACATTCCAACCCTGGAAAAGCCCAAAGAAGAAGGGAGCTCCACACAGGGGCTCCCACGATTCTCGTTTCGGAGCCTCCAAAAAAAAAACACACATTCCAACCCTGGAAAAGCCCAAAGAAGAAGGGAGCTCCACACAGGGGCTCCCACGATTCTCGTTTCAGAGCCTCCAAAAAAACACTCCAACCGTGGAAAAGCCCAAAGAAGAAGGGAGCTCCACACAGGGGCTCCCACGATTCTCGTTTCGGAGCCTCCAAAAAAAAACACACATTCCAACCCTGGAAAAGCCCAAAGAAGAAGGGAGCTCCACACAGGGGCTCCCACGATTCGCGTTTCGGAGCCTCCAAAAAAAAAACACACATTCCAACCCTGGAAAAGCCCAAAGAAGAAGGGAGCTCCACACAGGGGCTCCCACGATTCTCGTTTCGGAGCCTCCAAAAAAAACATTCCAACCCTGGAAAAGCCCAAAGAAGAAGGGAGCTCCACACAGGGGCTCCCACGATTCTCGTTTCGGAGCCTCCAAAAAAAAAAAAAAACATTCCAACCCTGGAAAAGCCCAAAGAAGAAGGGAGCTCCACACAGGGGCTCCCACGATTCTCGTTTCGGAGCCTCCAAAGAAAACACTCCAACCCTGGAAAAGCCCAAAGAAGAAGGGAGCTCCACACAGGGGCTCCCACGATTCTCGTTTCGGAGCCTCCAAAAAAAAAAAAAAAACATTCCAACCCTGGAAAAGCCCAAAGAAGAAGGGAGCTCCACACAGGGGCTCCCACGATTCTCGTTGCGGAGCCTCCAAAGAAAACATTCCAACCCTGGAAAAGCCCAAAAGAAGGGAGCTCCACACAGGGGCTCCCACGATTCTCGTTTCGGAGCCTCCAAAGAAAACATTCCAACCCTGGAAAACCCCAAAGAAGAAGGGAGCTCCACACAGGGGCTCCCACGATTCTCGTTTCGGAGCCTCCAAAAAACACATTCCAACCCTGGAAAAGCCCAAAGAAGAAGGGAGCTCCACACAGGGGCTCCCACGATTCTCGTTTCGGAGCCTCCAAAAAAAAAAACTTCCAACCCTGGAAAAGCCCAAAGAAGAAGGGAGCTCCACACAGGGGCTCCCACGATTCTCGTTTCGGAGCCTCCAAAAAAAAAAACACTCCAACCCTGGAAAAGCCCAAAGAAGAAGGGAGCTCCACACAGGGGCTCCCACGATTCTCGTTTCGGAGCCCAAAAAAACAAAAACACTCCAACCCTGGAAAAGCCCAAAGAAGAAGGGAGCTCCACACAGGGGCTCCCACGATTCTCGTTTCGGAGCCTCCAAAAAAAAAAAAAACACTCCAACCCTGGAAAAGCCCAAAGAAGAAGGGAGCTCCACACAGGGGCTCCCAAGATCGGCAGCAAGCGCCTCAACCGGCAGCAAGAGCCTCACAAGAATCGTTGCCTCAATACGAGGGGAACCCCAGCGGGGCGGCTCAATCATCTTTAGCTTTCCTTTTGACCTCCCAAAAATGGGAAGGAGTACCAACTGCAGAGAGAGAGAGAGAGGGAGCGAGAGAGAGAGAGAGAGCAAACGAGCAAGAGTGACTGCAGTGAGAGCAAGAGTCACAGAGAGAGAGAGAGAGACAGAGAGAGAGACGGAGAGACACACACACACACATGTGTATATATATATATATACATATACCTATGTATACATATATATATATCGACCCTTCCGGCTTCCGGCTGTTTTTTGCACGCCTTCGAGACGCCGGAACCGGTGTCGCGGGCCTGCACTCAACGGCCAGTTGATCCATGGGGTCAGTGTTCCAAGTGCATCGAGAAACGGTTGCTTGCTTGCTTGCTTGCTCGCTCGCTCGCTTGCTTGCTCGCTCGCTCGCTTGGTTGGTTGGCCAAGTTGGAGATTAGGGGCCCCTCCAAACCCTGTACTCCGACAGTACCATAGAAATCCCTACCCAGACCTCCAGGGGTCTGGTACCAACGTTGTCAGTGGCTCAGGCGCTCATCACTTGGACGAACGAAAAGCGGCCCGCTCCATTCCCGGCAAAAAAAAAAGAGTTCTTCTGCGGCTGTGACGGATGTGAAAAAACAAAAGACTATGATCTTCATGTTTTACAATTATAATTGCTCAGCTGCAGGTCCTTTTCTTGACACGGCCAACCACGCCAATCCGAAAACGTCTCAACTCCAATTGAATTCGTCGAATGAACATGGTAGAGGATGAAAAAGAATGCGAATTCGCTCACAATTTGATGATTGTGGCTGTTGGCGTCCATTTGGACAAATAGACGGAGGGCACTGGGAACGAGACCGTGTGCACCTTGTTGCAGGCTCCGCAACCCCGGCTTGGGGCAGTTGTTTTGACAAGGGAAAGCAGAAGAAATCACTCTGTGGGGCATGCTTCAAGTAAGACCACCAGCTCAACCCATACCTGAGACTTCCACCAAAACCAAGCCCGCCTTCTACCTGAAAACGCCCCCCACCTCAAACCAGCAGCTCGCCCCTCGCCGCTCGCCGCATCGAGTCGCCTGCACCAGGGACTTGCCGCGCATTAGCGGATAGGAGAGCAGCAGCGCCAGGAACTTGGCGAGGACACCCGCCTCAGGAACCCGAACAAATCCGAGGAAGCTTCGCCCGAGGGGCGTTTTTCGCTAACTTTTCGTCGGTGGCCGGGGTGTGCTTTTTGTTCTTTGAAGGGGAACCCCCTCACAAAAATACAAGAAACCAGGGCACCACTGGGTGTCTGGGTTTGGTGACACTGTGAAATGTCACCTGTTTTGGATGGTTCTGAGGGGATTTTGAGCAGGGATGTTGAAGGAATCTGCAAAAGGATTGAGGGATATTCAAGGCATTGTGCGGGGATTTAAATGGTTTCTTCAGGGTGGCTCAAGGCTTCTCACCATGTGTGGGTCTAAAAAACAAGAAACATCTGAGGAAGAGTTGCTTCTCTTGTGTTTCTTTGAAGCATGATCCAACCAGGTTCAAGCTTGAGGGTACCTCATTTTGAGGGTACCCCGCCCCCCCAGTTTGTCGGGTGTGCTTTGTAGCGGACTTAAGGGGCTGTTTTAAAGACAAGGAAGCGGATCCTCGAATAAGGGTTCCACATCGGATATGACATCGCGAGTGTAGCCTGAGTCACGCACAAGGGCCGCCTCCAAAACTGACATCTGCTGCCTGGCCGTCAGACATCCGAACTCTTCGCTCTCTCTCTCGCTCTCTCTCTCTCTCTCTCTCTCTTTCTCTCTCTCTCTCTTTGTCTTTCGCTTCACACATTGCCTCAACTTCAAACAAAGGGTGTGGGAAGTAAATAGCGGGCTAAGCTGGTCCAATCACCCGCAGCAAAAAGCTAACTTTTGTTGGCGACTGGAATACCGCCATGTCACTTGGTTTGAAGCTTTGTTCGAACTCGATGCGGTCCGACGATTGGCCTTCGCCGCAAGGACAGGATCAGGCGCTTGATTTGCGCCAAGGCCTGGCGGGCACAACCCAAACACCCTCCTCTCGAAATTCACTTGCCAACG